GAGTCTTACTGTATGTAAAGCATATAGTTGGTTCTTTTTTTGGGGGGGGTTGACATGAGAAAAAGTATTTGGAGTATTTGTTTTATATATATATATATAATTTGTTTCATCTATGAAAAAAATCTCTATTTGGTATGATTGTTTTAACATAAAAATTGTAAATATACTGGATGTAGTTAGCTTGAATTGTGAAAGAGTAATTTCCCATAAAACTAGGAAGTACAAGATTTCGATGTATTTCATCATTAGTTTCAAAATGTATTACTTAGGCTCATTTATTATGCCGAGTATTGATTTATTGTATTTAAATGAAGTTTAAATTTTATAACATATTTTAGTTCTATCTCCCCCTTAGAAACTTTATTTTAATAAGTTAATATTTTGTTCATAACTTAGAATTAAGTGAAGATTGGTACTCTTTTAGAAGATTGAAATTGAGTATAATGTTTGAAATAGTTTATATGCCCTGTTCTGCTGTTAAGATATGAAAGGAATGTTAAAGCGCTGTCAAAGGACTCTAAACCAGCAAAGCACCGGGAGTAGAGAATCATATTTTTATAGTACATGAATTTATCAAGTTATTGCTAAAACCCAGAAGCAGCAAGGATGAAAAATCAACAGATTAATTAGTTAACATTCTGCTTGTATTTTATGTTCATGACTAATCATTTGCTTATTTTGAGGGAAATTATTTTTTATTAAAATTGTTAAGACTCATTTCAAAGGGAGAGTGTTATATAATATTATAATTGAATATTCCCTGCCTTGTTTCATAGCAGGTTTTTTGGACCAAAGTTAATGCTTTCCTTCCTAGGCATCTGGAATGATGAACTAGTATTTTACTAAAAATAATCAGTGATCAACCTTTATAAGATTAAGTTCAAATAAAGTTGGGATGTGTGATTTGGATACCTGTCAGCCTCCAGCTTTGGCTTTAGCGGCTTTTTGCTTTAGTTTGATTTAGATAGAGTATTAATCTGAATTTTTTCTTCTTCTTCTTTTTTTCCTGAAACAGTTCTAATTTCTTTAATTAAAATAACTGTTAGGTATTGTAATGCTATTCATCCCAAGTCATGACTAGATTCCTCTTTATTCTTGATCCAGGCTTTCAAAGTAATTCACATCAAAATGCTGAGACTTGCCCATATCAGTGAGGCAAAAACTTTGTTTTGATTATTCCCATTTGTGGGGAAATTTTCCTACATATGGAAATACAAGAGACATAATCTGGAGTCCCCAAAATCTTACTGATCTAATATACAATACAGAAATTTCTGTAATGCCAGTTCCCAATTATCTGTGTGTTTCTAAAAAAAACGTTTAAGTGTTATTCTGTAAGTTTTAAGAAATATTTTGAGGCAGAAAATACACATCAATATGGATTATCAAGAGGGAACAAAGTTGATGTGCCTTAGAATAATGGAACAGGCAAGCACTTCCCATGTGGGGGAGCTAAATTCAAACCAACAGATCCCTAAGAGGAAATAATTACTCGACATTTTCAATTTAAATCTTGCATAGGTCAGAATCATGCCATGGTAGGAATTTCTTGTGGAAATGATTTATTGAAATAAGTCCATAAGTCTCCTCCCCAGCACCTGACACAGTATCTAGGGCATGTTAGGGTAAATCTGCTACCTACTTTGATCCGTATCAGGGTCAGCCAGTACAGATTAAARAACTCATCATTTGAAAAGAATATTTCCTAAATATAAATAAAGTGCTTCCTTCCATTTTTAGAGCTTGTTCTGGCCTTAAAATTTTGAAGGTAGCATTGGTTTTATAAACTCAGTTTCTTCCTTTATTTATTTTTCAGTATAGTGTCACCCCTGTGTCTGTGGATCTGAGTATAACACACCCATGTTAAAACTTTCAGCCTATCCTTTGAAAATTTGTGATTTACATTGAATAGAGCTGATTATCTTTACTAACAGTTATAAATTCTTTGGCGACATCTGCGTCCAATATTTAGGATGACCAAGGAGTCCACCAGCCTTCCCAATCAAGGGAAGCTCTGTCATTGTTTTCATGTGACTCAAGAAGCAGCTCTTATTCTCACATCTTTTTATAGCTCTTTTAAAACCTGTCTTTTATCTTTTAACATAATCACGTTTTAAAGTTATCTATTTACACATTTATCTAAAAGTCCTTCTAAGAATTCTAGCATCAAGATTGAAGGTAATTTGACTTAATTTTTTTTCCTTGAGTCAGTAGATATTAACCTGACAGTAGAAACAGAAAGAGATATTTAACTCACAGATATTATTGAGGCTTGTCTATTCTTTTTAAAAGGAAGAATCATTAGCACATGCAAGTATTATCTAACAGATACCAAGCCAGCTATAAACTTAGCTATGGGCTTTATTTTAATATTATGACTTAATTCAACATCACATGAGGTCAGGAGAGCTATAGTCTAGTATACCCCCACCCCACCCCAGCTTTCTGTATCTCTCAACATCCCATGAGTCCTTTAACCATACCTACTTACCGAGTTGAAAAGACTGTGAACCCATCTAATTCCACTCAGGGTTGAAAACTGGCATGGGGGTATCCTCCTCAAGGATTTAAGAAAAAGACTTGTGCTTACATACCTACACTAGTAGCTGGCAGGCTGTGCTTTCTTTGAAAACCTATCAGGGAAGCTTTTTAAAGAAGCCCATAGTATTTTGGTGATGAAAATTCAATAAACCTATTCACTTAGCTGTTTCTGGGATGCATATTATAATAATGATAAAAATGCAAATGAATAATACCTTCCCCATGTTCCTTATTTTGTAGTTTTTACTGTCTTTAGAAAGGTTAATTTATTTGCCATAGACATTAGACACAGTGTTAGATTTAGAATCTAGGTCTCAACTAGTAATCCGGTACCCACTTATTCCAATTAATGATGATAATCAAAGAATAAAGACAATCCAGATAAACCACAGTTGTTAACTGCTAGCTCATTGTGAATCTTTAAAAATCAGAATTGGGAAAGAAATTTTGACTCTAGACAGAAACAGGCAATCAAAATATGTTTATTCATTTGTTTTGAATGCTTCTACTTGCTCATTAATTAATTAATGCTTTTTAAAGATCTCAATGTCCTTGGTTTGGATAGTTTAAGAAATCTCAGGAGAAGGTTTTTAGCTGCTGTAGAATAATGGTAACAGGATAAAAATGAAAGAGGCTAATGTGAAGATTTTACTTCTTAGTTTTTTAAAAACTGCATATTTTTAATGTTTTTCTGTCACAGAATTAATGAGTTGATTTTTATTTTTCACAAATAGAAGTAGGTGTGTGGAGTAGTTACTTTTATTTTAAAAACAGAATACCTACATTTTAAAAATGGAGATTAGGGAATTTGAATATCTATTACTTMAATTTAAAATAAAATTTTTTGATGAATAAAATCCTGAAGGTCTATTAGCTCAGATTTCTCTTTCAGACTATTTAAATTATAATGAAAAAGTTTAATAATCTACTATAATGAAATCCTGAGTGAGTACTAAATAAAAATAAATGTCTTCGGAGATATGTTGGTAAAAAGGAGTTAATTGGTACCTGATAGTATGTTGAATTGATATTTTTTCCCAAGTTCTTTGAAGTTGAGTTTATTTCTTAAATAAGGAAATCTTAGATGAAAGAACATGAAAGCAAATTATTCCCCTTTTATCCTCATGCTTAAATAATATGTTACATGCAAAATTATTATTTTAAAATGATTATTTTGTCATAAGTATGAAATTTATTTTATTTATACTAATTTTTGAATTTTTTCTACTGAATCATTGCAAAGACTGTCAACCCTCTAATAGTAGTATTAGTATTAATTTTTCTAACATGCATGATTCATTGGACCCCACAATAGCTGTAGCTTGCTTGCCTTGTTTTTTCCCTGAAATTAAACAAAAGAAAACGTGCAGTAAAGTCCAATGAACATCTGCTCTATGTAGCAAAACAGCAGAACAACTGAAATCTTAATAAATTAATATTTTATTGCTTCATATGTGGATTTTGGAGATCCATACAGATATGACTCCTCTGAACTTTCTATGTTGAATGTGCACTGTTGTTAAACTACTTGTTTTTTCCCTGCCTGCTCTTTGAAGAAGTCAATTAGGAATAATGGGAAACAAGGGGTAGGCAAAACATTGCAGTGCAGTGTTATTTCCATCTGTCTTTGAATATTTCAGCCAAAAGTTTATTTTGGGAAAAAAAAAGCCACAATGCATTCACACACAGAAGATCACAAATACTTTGGCTGCAAATTATTCTGCAGTGTTRTTGCTCTGTTGTTGCCCGTGTGTGTTCTTATGTGTAAAGCTACCACCCACCCATGCATGTGTTTGCAGATTCTTGTCTGTGTGCTTGTTCATGAATTAGCTCTCATCTTCCTCATGTTTAGGTTAAGTTTATTCAAGGAACAAGAATTTATGGGTATGACTGTTGGCTGGAAAGCCCTTCCCTCACATCTGAGTCTTCCTTCCAAACTACATCTTCTGCTGAGATTTCTCAGTAGGGCGACATGCTCAAAGATCAGTCAGCCAGTCTCTTCTATGTTACCTGGCTCTACATAGGCCCTTGATGGATCTTRGAAAACAACTTAATATGTTTAATATGTGCTGCTTAAGTTCTCTGCATTGGAAATGGGAGAAATTGAATTGTCTTGGTTCTGCTTGCCAAATGAGCAGTAATGAAGACACCAGAGTCTCTAAACCCACCTATGCCCCACTTTTACTGGAAAGAAAAGCCCAAAGTAGCACCTTTTAATGGATCAAAATATCAATAAAGAAAGGAATTCCCTATAAGAAACTAACATAATTTTAAATCAACATTTTCTAAGGTAACTGGAAATGTGTGATATTCTCATTTTGCCTTCTTACTGACAGAATACCCATAACTCTTGTTGGTTATTTTGTCTCTAAAGTTAATTTCTGGGCCATTGGTGGCTACAATATCTACTGTTACAAATTGTTGTCTTAACTACATTCTTTAAAAATGTAATGTTGAAGGCACATAATATTGAAGATGACTCCAGGATGAACCCTGAGTTTGCAGACCGACTAAAACAGCTTGATAAAGAGGCATCTTACTACCGTGATGAGTGTGGCAAGGCCCAAGCCGAAGTGGACCGGTTGCTGGAGATCCTCAAAGAGGTGGAAAATGAAAAGAATGACAAGGACAAGAAGATCGCAGAACTTGAGAGGTAAGTTTTACAGACATGTGAACTGTCAGTGCTGAGTGAGCACTGACGACTTGGTTGTCCATTTCAGGTTGTGGTTAGATTTAGAAGGCACATTTGCACGCTCGGATTACAAGTTGGAAACATGTTATATACGAGGAATATGGCATGATAAGAGATAATGTTGTTTCTATGGGATACCAAGAAAGTAATTGACTTATCTTTTGAAGGATTATGTAMTTCTTCAGTGTTTAAAGAAATAGTGGTTGCTTTTCTTGAGTGATGTTTGTCTGTTCTAGCATTTGTGCCAGCAGTGTACATAAAAATTTGACTACCTGAAACCTCTGTTCTTTCCCATTAAAGATGAACATTTGTGGTGTATGGTTTGTCTTGAGCAAAAGAATATGGAAGAATACAGTTGGGAATTCTTCACTCAAGATAGGAGGAAGGGAAGGGAGCTGATATCTTTTGGATGTCTTTTGGCACATTACAACAATTTCATCCTTGAGATTTATCTTTTGAGAAGATCTTATAGCACTTGGAAAATAAATATGCTTGAATAGGGCCTACATGATAGCAAATTTTGTCTGAACACAAGGAGGGTTGTATCAGGGTTCCAGAGTATTTAGATTTTCAGATAAATCATATCCATATTATATTCATGTGTAGTTGGATCTCTAAAAATAAGCTTCCTATCAATGCTTTTTCCTATATTTCATATATGGGAAGAACTTTCTGAATAATCTTACGTAACTCCATAACCTCTAAGGATTTTTCATTGGTTCAGCAATAAGGCAGAATTTGTCTTTCTTAGATTCAGTCCATATGGAAGAGATCAACAAAGTTTGAATAAATCAGTGAATGTTTGCCAGGTCTGATCAAGACACTTGTGAGGCCCTAAAGGACTTCAAGATATATGCAAAATAGCTCTTTGTGGCCTTGCAGAAAGATGATGGACTTTAGCAAAAGAAAGACCAGGGTTCATATTTTGTGTTGGCTTTATGCTAGCTGTGTGGCCTTGAATCTTTTTGGAAATGAATCTCTAATAGCCTTTTAAGATGTGTTATGCTTTGCAAGCACCTAGTCCCCATGTAAGAGGATGAAATGATGTTTATATCATTATTATTAACAGTTGAATGCTAAAAAATATTTAGTATTAAGTGGCTCTGTACTTAATGTATAGGCTATTTGCAATAAAATTTCAACAACTTTTTCAAATATTAAATTATTTAATAATTTCTTTCAATACCCTTAGCCTAAGTTTAATGATGATCAGATAATTTTGGTTCAGTGTGACCAATCTTAGTAAGGAAGGCAAGAACCTCTTTCATCCTGAGGCCACCATACAAATAAAGTTCTTAAGGATTCTGTTTTAATTTTAAAATGTGGGAATGTTCTGCCAGTCTACTGATTCTTAAAAAGCTGGGGACACTGTTGATTTTAGATATATCTATCTACATGACTATTTTGAAATTATATTTCAGGGCCACAGTTTTTCTAAAACAGCTACCATGAGATCACAGGGAAGTTATGTCTGTGTCTTTTTTATTGGTGAGAAAACAAAGACCTCAAAAAGTTGAGTGACCTTCTGGAGATTGGTCCCATGGTCAGAAAGATGAGAAACTATAACATTATAGTTATAACATTATGTTTCTGGACTGACTTCTTGTCCACTGCTCTGAGAAGCAGTGAGCCCTATGGCAGATATCCTAGATAGTAATACCAATAGTATTTTAAAAAGCAATTATAATCATAATGATAGTGTCAGTATATTTTATGCTTAGTGAGCCAGATAGTCTGCTAAGCACTTAAGCTGCAATATGGTATACATTTAATCTTACCCATAATACAGAAACTATCACGATCTCCATTTTATAGATGAGAAATTATGACATATACAGATTAAGTAACTTTCTTAAAGATTGCAGAACCTGTAAGGTTCAAAGTCGGGATTTGAACCCAGGAACAACAGAGGAGATACTGAGAACAATCCCTTCCACCAATGGGCCAAAATGGAGAAACGAGTCCAGTAGTGCCAAGCAACCTACTGAGAGCCCTTCCTGAGCAGGCATTGCAGGGCAACCACAAGAGATCTGCCTCTTCTTTTTTAGTTTTCATGAAGGAAAGTGATGTGCCCCATGTTTAGAAGGCATTTTTCTTTATTAAACCAGCTCCCCAGTACTGTAATTGAAAATAAGGATTTAACTACTATAAACATTTACATATAAATACCTTAATTGTCTATTTGGGCAAACAGGTCTTAGCTAGACACTATTGCCATTAAATCTTCAAGAATATTCACAGTTTTATTTCTTCAATATGGAATGCATTAAAGCGGCAGTGATTTTACAAGCATTTATCTTTATGTACTTTCTGCACATTTTCTTTATCTCTGTCTTTGCCTCTCCTTAAAGCTGATGCCTCCCAGGCTCTGTAATTCATAAAACGTGTGGTGGGACTTGACTCTGTCCCAGGTCTCTGCCTGCCCGTGTCTTGGGTCCAGCAGCAGAACATAGTCTGGGAAATGTCTGAGTCCCAGCTCTAGCACAGGCCCCTAGGGAGGCGGGGGTGGAGATCTAGGAGGACCAAGCTTTGGCCTGCCTTTCTGAAGCATGATCTGCTGGGCTACATGTGTATTGACTAAAACATCTTCCTTGAGTTGTCAGGCAGTTGTTTCTACATTTGCTGTCTTAAAGTACAAAATTCATACCTCATAATGTTGGGAACTAAAGATTTCTTAGAAATATGACATAGATCTCCATTTTGGAGTCATTGAGAGAAGGGCTTACAATTATGTTTGTTATTTTGAAAACCAAAATATTGAACTTGAAATAAATTTTTGGTCTCTGGCTTATAATGTGATCTACCAGAGTGAAAGGGCCTTTTAAAAAGCAACTTGTATTCTAAAATATGACAAAACTTCAGTCACATACAACAAGAGGTACAGGATTAGGAATAACTCAAATAATACTGGCCTGCTTCTCTCTGAGGGCAGTTTGTTTGTTTTTATTCTGCTAATCATCTCACAATGGACATGTTCCTAAAAGCATATGGCTGGCATTTACCTCTTAAATTCTGTTCAAATGATATTTTTCATCAATCATTAAAGATCTTCTTTTTAAGGTGCACACTGCTCTAGTGTGGTTCCTATATGCACTTCTGCCTGTAAACTCTTGCACTTGATTCTGACAGCCCAGTTGGGAAGCTTCTGCCTTTGACTAGAGGCTGTGAAGGTAGAGGACCTTGAGTATATCCCTGAGAGTTGGTCAAAAGCAGTCTGATGTTTTGTTTCATCACCAATGCCAGAATCATAACCATGTAGCTAATTAAACCTTAGAGACACTGAAATATGTGGCGCTTCTGTATCAGTGCCCATCAAGGTCTCTGAGTTCTATTTAAAGTTTCAGAATTAATCCTGTGGTGCCTTAGGGGAAAGAGAGAAGTTAATAGAGTCTGTCAAACAAGACCTACTGCCACTGGATTTCTTGCATCCCACCCATGGGAAAGGATCAGTCAGGTTACTTTTCATGTAATTATCTTAAATCTGTTAGGGGATTTTGTCTGTGTTTGACTAGAAGATGGGGAATGCCCAAATTGAGTCCTCTGTCACATTCCTCCCTGCAGTGACAGGGTCCCAAGGGCTTCTTCTCCTAAGACATACCATCAGACTGGAAAACAGGGTACCACTTAATTATCTGGATGGAGTACTAATGCCGCCAGACATTTGGACATTGATAAATGATTTTAGGTGCCTAACAGAACCTTATCTAAGGTTGAAAGAGAAATTATTATTTTTCCTTCTGATTTGCTCAATAATGTGCTGACATAATTTCCTTGATGCCTTTTAGAACTCTTTTCAAAACATAAACTTAAACTTTGTTATTATTTCTAAAGTATGATAATGTGTTCTGAAAGTTCCATAGCACATGGAAGAAACTTGATAGAGTTCTTTTTGTTTTGATATACACTCTTCTTGCTGAGTAATTTCTACTTATGCTCATTAATGTAGTTGAAGGAATTTCTTTAAATCAAGTGGCAGATGGCTGTATACTATCTCTGACGACCTTTTGGGGAGGACCATGAATGTCATGGATGCTTTTGAGAATTTGATGAAAACTAGGAATCTTTGGGAAAGGCAGCTAACTCTTAAATGTGTGCTTGATATTTTAGTTTAGGATTCCCTAAATTGGCCATGGACCTTAGCCTAATTACCTCTGATCTGAAGGATTTGAAATGACAGCTGGGCCCAGTATTGCTGAAGTCTCCACCATGACCTAACTCATTTTTGATCAACTGTACATTTATGATCACAAAACACTTTGTAGAGAGATCTCAGATATGAGGGATTATCAAATCATCACTTTCACATGTGTTTAATATTGAATTTTAGCTTTGATTTTTATCATTCTAGTCAAATACTGTTTTCACTTGAAATGTTCTAGCATAGACTTTATCCTAAAGATTTATTGTTTTTCCTTCCTATGTGAAATGCTTAAAATTACTTATAAACAGTGTGGAATGGTGAGGTTCCACTGAGCAGATAGCTGGTAAAGTGTTTATCCACTGTGTTTTGGCAAAGGGTATATTATAGATTAACGAGAAATATTCACTATGTTCCTGAGGGAGCCTGGAAGATGATTGTGACATTTTTTCTTTTAATTTTTGTTTGTCATTAGAGACTACTGTTTTGATTGATTAGAGGGACATATTAGACATTTTTGTGCATATAAATTAAGTATCTGGATATTCTCAGTGATGAAGTCAGAACCCCATTTCACAACTGAGAAATATTACTCTTAGTTTGGAACTTAGGCTGACGGGCAGGTGGTACCCCACCAGCAGGCCTCCTCACAAAGCCTTTAATCATTGCTAGGTAGAATACTCTGTGAACATCTAGGCAGGAAATCTTTGAACTAAAAGCCTAACTGCTCAGCTCCTTTTGGTTTTTCAGAGATGAAGGAAAAATATTTCATAGTATATAACCATTCAACGTACTGGTTCAAATAAAAATTCCTCTCAGTTTAGTGCTTACTTACCACCAGTTCTAACACCTTAGTAATTAACCATTTCTGTTTATGAAATAATAAAAGTTTATATTCACACAGATAGGAACTTTCTCTAGCCCTTCAGAAAGTATGCTGATACCACCTCTGGTTGGTATCAGTGCTTGCTATTATTGTACTTAGAAGAGCAGGTACCAGTTTCTTAAGTATGATAGTTAATAGAAGAGCTTACAGTTTGTGCCCAGGGCTTCTGRGGGGTGATATCCAATAAAAGTTGCTTTATTGTCCTTTGTTTGGTTATAAAACCTGCTAATATGACATCTGTTGGCTGTATGTTTAAAACTAATATGTTTCCTTCCTTTTATTCTCTTTTGCTATCCCTTTTCCTTTCTGCTTATCCTCCAAATTGCTGCTTTCACCCTTGCTCCAATCAGCTTGACTTTCAGGTCAGTACTTTCAGTTTTTCTCCTAACTGCCTTTCCCTCCTAAGCTCAATTTATTGCTTGCACTTGTTTAACAACACATTTCTGAAATGGTTTTCCTCTGGCCACCACATTTTTTTTCCCATTTCCATCCCATGCCTCGGGGAGGTTTATTTTATGAGAAGGCTGTATAGGTGGGAAAAGCAAAGAATAAGGAGGAAATAAATCACTGTTGGATTATTTGATAAATTTGATTCCTGGATTATAAAATAAGAAAACCATTGTGATAATTCCCCAACGCATGCCTCCTGAACAGTTTGGAAATCTGCATGACGACACAGTGTGAATCTGTGGAAAAACAAAATGCAAGATGCTAAATTTAACCTGGGGGAACAAAAGATCCCTCCATGACACAGCAACTTAAAAGCTAAATTTAATAGTGCAAACCATTCAGACTTTTTGCTAAATAAATCACTGTGATTTGAAAGATTTATAATACTTTTTAAAAGTCACTTTAAAAAATTATCAGTGTGTTAGTAACATATTGTACACACATGTTATTTCCTGTCGTTGTTTTGGTTTTAACTTTTTAACTTCATTTTTATTAGCCAGAAGATATACTTTAATTACCTAGGACATAGCATATGGAACCAAATTTCAAACTAGATTCATTGTTGATGATGTGTGTACCCCGATATTAAGAAGTGAAATGGATATTTTGCTTGAAAATGCATCCCAGATTTGATTTCTCTAATATAAAAGGCTCAATGCAATAATTTCCTTTTCCTTAATTCCAGGAAGACTTCATTTTCTGATAGCACACAATAATAGTTAATGATTTCTTCATCATTCAATTAATGAGTTTATTAATAGATGTTCATTGTATGATTTAGAGCTATTTATAGGCTTCAAAAAAAGAAAGTCTTAGGTTTGGGGTGTAGCTCAGTGGAAGAGTGTAGGAATCATAGGAAAAAGAAAGCTTAAATTTGTAGTCTATTGACTACTCTGAAAAAGTTGCTCTTTTTGAGAGGTACAGTATATTTTTTTCCTCCTCTTGATGCAGGGTCTGTATCTTTTATTCTGTCTTATCCCCTAAGCTACCAACCAGTGCATTTACTTCAGCAGCAAATAATTTCAAAACAAGGACTCCTGCTCAAAGACCAATTTTGTCCCATCACAGGCTCCCAATCATGGTGGCTCACAGTTCTTGACTTTTTCTCCACTGTTCCTACATACTGTGTTGCATACTCCACAGGAACTGCCTGAACTCCACCATGCAGAAGGAAACTCTACTCTCAAATGTTTCACCAGGAAAGGTTTAATTAGAGATTAGAAGCATAGCTCTACAGAATTACTCCCACCAAAAACCTAATGTCTTCTGGAACAGACCGAATCTGGTGCAGAAATCCAGACATCATAATGGAAGGTAGTTAGGAGGCTTGGGCACATGATATCCAAACCTTTGCTTCAAGTTCTGGATCCACTCATTTAGTAAAGCTTTAAGCTTTCTCCTTGTTTTTTATTTATTTATTTTTCTTTCTCCTTTGCCTTCATTTTGCTGCTGCTAACCTGTACCTCACAATATTGAAATCCTTTAGACCGGGTACCTCTTTTGATCTCATACCTCAGGCCCCCTACCTGGTCCTTCAGTTTTTTATTGATGTTCTGCTGTGTTTCTTATGCACCAGTAACTTTGCTGGTGGTACTTAGTTTTCTCCTATTTTATGGTGAATGAACATAAGTTCTGGCTTTCAGAAGGTACAGTTCAGGGGTAGGCTGGTAGGGGTTCTGTGTAACCAATGGTTCTCTGGGTAAAAGGGCTGGGTGTSCTGAATGGGTTTGGTAAAATATACTTGCCAGATCCAGCTGGATGATCTATAGGGGTTAAGTCAAGGTTCAGATCATTCCAACATAATTTAACCTGTTGCCTCAAATGAACATAATAGAGAAAATATGCAATCATTGTGAATAATCTCTAGTTATATTTTTATTGTAAGAGGAATTGGGCAGCCCTGTCCTGCTGGAAACAAAAAGTCTGTAGAATTTTGGAAGCTTTCTTGAACTTTGACAAGTTTCCACAGTTAACTATACATTTTTTTCCCCCTAAGCACTTCCAGTTTTACCAGTTAAAATAAAGTGAAACGTAACAACTGACTTGAGTGCATCCAGGATCTCTGGCCCATATGCTTTCTTTGTATGCCTTACAGTTGAGACACATATATACATATACATATATGCATACATATATATGTGTATATGTATATAAAAATATCAGGGATTATAGAAAAGTCTTGTGTGATCTTTCTCATCAATAGAAATTTGTGACCTGCCCTGCATGTTCCCACCTCCTAATCTGAGGTTTTAAACTTTGAAAACTCTGGGGCTTTTTTTAATGCGCTGTGGGCTCCATGGGAAGTTCTTCATTCCAAGAGCTTTCTTAGGTGATCTCATTTCCTTTTCAAACTCTGTGTGTACTCTCTTTCTTAAATTCAGGTGGACAGATATTAAGTATTGGGTTTGGTAAAATGCAAATATCATATTCTAAACCTGCTCAAGTCTGCACTTCAGTAAATTCCATTTCTGTCAAGAATCTCTTTATACACAGAACAGTGAGAAGCTGGAGAGGTTTAACAGGATCACTGCATTGCAATCTGGGAGAGGGTTGATGTGAAGCTTGCTCACTTCTAGGAACTCTTTGTGAGATTAGCATGTGACTTATGACAGATGAGGTTATCTCCATAAATGAATGCAGGAATTGAGGTTTTTGTTTTTTTTTTTTTTTTAAAGAACAAATATCCTCTGGGATTCAGTTCAAAATCCTGCCAGAGAATCAACCAAACAAAACCAGAAGGCTTGGGCCTCTCCCAGGCTCTCCCATCCTCCAGTTTACTCTGGATCTTGGGTCAGCCATTTCCTTGTTTGGGCCTCAGTGTCCCTTCTTGGAGAGGAAGGAGCCCTGTTTGGGGCAAATCCTCTGGGATCCACCCCGCACATGTGCATCACATGTCTGATGGGTGGGGGCCCAGGGGGTGGTTGGTGATGGGCCTCATGCATTTCCCTGCAAGCAGGCTCACGCTGATGGCTGGCGCCTGGCAGCAGGCGTGAGCTCATTGTTACAGAGTCACTTCAAACACTTCTACGAAAATAAACTCTTTGTGATGTTTCCCCAAAGTTGAACACTGTGCTCTCAATCCCTCATTCTTTGAGGAAAAGATGAAGTCACTCCTCCCAGACCTCAGAGGCCCGTTGCCCAAGGAAATAATGAAAAACACCTTGTCCAGAGCATCCTCTTACTGTCCTGCAATTTGGTAGGGTCAATTGTTTGCCCCATTTCCTCCACACATACATAGTGAGTTCCTACTGTGTGAGAGGCTGGGTATTACACACTGACTTGACATTTCCAAAAAATAGCTGATAAAAAACTGACCAAACCATAATCATGTAAGAAATGCTACATATGACGTTTTTCATTTTATATTCATAATACATGATGATGATAATAATAATAACAGGAGCAGCAGCTATAGCAATAATATATTTTATATARTGTGGTAAAATGTACTTACCAGATCCAGTTGGATGATCTATAGCGATTAAGTCAAGGTTCAGATCATTCCAACATAATTTAACCTGTTGCCTCAAATGAACATGATAATGTGCAATCATTGTGAATAATCTCTGGTTATGTTTTTAGCATAAGAGGAAATGGTATATTAACTAAGTGCCAGCGCTAAACTGATCACATTTTACATAGTATTCACTTCTCATAACAACTGAGTTTTTATTAGACAAGAGGAAACTGGAGTTCATGAAAGTTGGATATTTTTCTCAGGTTAATACAGCTAGTAAGTAAACAAACTGTGTGTGTATCTGTGTGTGTGTGTGTGTGTGTGTGTGTGTGTGTGTGTGTGAGGAGAGCTCCCCCAAAGACAATCTTTCTGCTTTACATATTAGTTTTTATGCCACTCCTGGTGTGATTACACAATAAAAGCTCTGAGAAGACCTGCAATAAAGAATCTGTGCTGTTTTGTTCAACCTGCAGTTTTACAAATATGGTTCATAGACTATATTCCATGAAGCATTTGGGGAATAACCATCCTGCCTGCTGTGCAACCAACCTTTGCCTTCATTCTGAGATTCTCTATTACCCTGGTTTTTCTTGTACAGATCCTGCCTCTCAAGGGTCAGGTGTTATCTCTCCTTCTCGGCCATCCCTCAGTCTGCTGGCCTGATCTCTGTGCAGCATGTCATGCCCTATTCTAAAGATGCCAGTTTTGCTCTTGAATGTTGATAAATAGATGACTGATAAACGAAACAACTTTTTCTAGCTTTTTCCTCTCACTTTCTACCTTTTATTTCTTCCTTATTCTCAGTTCCCAGAGAAAGTTGCTGGTGGGCTCTTTCTGGAGGCTTGAATTGACAGCAATGGCTAGAAAACCTAGCATCAGACAGGAAGCCCAAAGAAAAGATGATTGCTTTTCTGTCAGGCTGCAGCTTGAAAGTTCAAGTGAAATAACTCCCCACACACAAAAGAGGGGAACAGACCTCTGTCTGAACTATTCTCATCACCCCTACCCTCCTGTTTCCTTCTTCCTTTTCCCCTTCTTCCTATATTGTTCATTGAAATCCTTCTTTGTGGAAGGGTCTGTACTCAGTGTTGGGGATATGGCAGGAAAACAGATATGACCCTTCCCCTTGCCAATTCAAAGACCAACATTTCCTATAAGGAAGGATTTGACCACTAAAAAAAAAAAAAAATTTGTCCTGTTTATACTAATAACTGGAAAAACTGGGTTTCAGGTGTGGTTTTTCCCCAGCTTTCTTGTTAGGGTGAAAGGGGTTATCCTCAGGTCAAAAAACCATTTCCCTCTTTAAAGCTGCCTTATACTAATGCTGACATTTCTGGTGAAGTGTCAGAAAATTTTATGCCCAAGCAAAACTGGTAGAAAGCCAGAAATTGGCTGATTTTGCTTTGGGTGCAGATATTTTATTGGGGATGGAAAAAAAGTTGTTTTCCCTGATTT